TCCAGATTTATAAAGAAAAGCTGTAACATGAAATAGTGACTCATCGTACTATTTTGGATCACTTATCCATCTACAAGATGTGGCAAAATGCCTGAATGAGCTCTCAAGTTTGTATGGACTTGACCTCTAGTTGACTTTTACAGGATTAATGAATGAAGCTGGTATTTTCCAGCTGTTCTCTGTGACTCCTGTCTGGAGCGGTGATATTGTCAAGCGCAGCCTTGACGGCTGATCAAGGCTACAGCTCATGAACAGCCTGAATTAATATTTTCCTCTGTGCTCTACTACTGTCACTTACATTTAAAAAAAAAAAAATGTTCTTTGCCGTAAAAGACCTTTATTCTCTCACTTATCTGTGGATTCTTCGTACTAAAGAAAAGCCGGTGGCAGCCTTTACATACCAGTGGTTTTAATACAAACCACACAATGCTTCACATTACAGCTTTGTCATCCATGCATCAGTCATTCTTTTCATATTAAATTGAGAATCCAAAATCGGAAAATGACAAAACTGTTATTTTATTATTCATTTATGCATCTCACTAAAAAAAAAACCCCAAAAATAACTGAAACTGCTTGTTTTTTATACTTTCAATTTTATGCTCAAAAAATAGGAAATGAGGAAACTGTCATAGACCGAACTTGATTGTGATATTTAAATTGTCTGCTTTGTCTGACCAGGAAGCTGCCGAATTCTTCATGTGTTTGTGTGCAGCGATATAAGGGAGTATTGTTGCCATGGATACGGGGAGTTGCACTGTGGCCACAAACACAAGCTCCGTTTATATTCGTCCGCATTTTGGTAAATTAAGTTCGCTGAATTGGCTACAAACGAAGTACAACTGTGTCTACGTCTGTGTGACCTTTTCCTCCACTGAGGCATTAATTGTACATTTTCTGTCCTGGAGTAAAAGAAGAGTTCTGACAGATGAAACAAGAGTCAAAGTGAAAATGAAATATTGCAGCAGAGTTGTGTTTAAATAGGTGTAAATCAACACAGTCATCCGCTCTACTTCCCAGCCTTGTCACATCAAAGAGGACTTTGACTTGCAGTGGTGGAGTCGCTCTGAAGAAGGGTCCTCAAGAAAGAGGAAACTGGATGAGACAGATTCCTGATGAGAGCGACTGTAATCCTCCGCAGACGTGTCGGGGCCAAAGGTACGTGTTTCCGTCTGGACAGACTTGGCAAGAATCTGAGTCATTCGTAGAAGTTATTCTGATCAAAAAGCTTCAAAAAATGACAAATTAAAATACTTCTGCTACAGCATTAACATACCGGTCTAAGGTTTCTTCTAACCTGAGGGAGCAATCCTGCAACAAAGTCCTATTCTCGTGTGAATCTTTGAGGCCGAGCAGGCTTCATGAGGATTTTGCTCCCTGTGAGCTTCAATACGTTTAATTAAGCCACTTCATATCCTGAAGTATCCCAGGGATAAAAAGGCAAATCTGAATTATCCCTGAAAGCTATTCAGATGCAGATGGATGAAGTGAGAAAGCAACAGAATTGTACAAAGAGTCTTGTGATTTAAAGTGAAATGTCGAGCAAAGCCTTTTAAAACAACTAACCCTTCTCATGTGATCTTAGTGAAATCTGGAACATGTGCAGGGCTCACTGAAATCATCCGCGTTTTCAGAGAAGGAAACATATTTTTCTTCAAAAGAGGCAGCTTGGGAAGGCAGTGGTTTAAGCAATAAGAAATCCATTTACTGATTTGCGATGACACTGTTTCTACTGCAAGTGGCTGCAGTATAAGTGAATGAAAGTAAAATGTTAGTGAGACATTTTTATTATCTTCATCAGCGTTTCGTTTGTTCCCAATGGCAGACAGATCAGTTTGTTTTCAGTTCATGAGCTGGGGTTTAATACCTCGCAAAATGTTCCACTCCGGCAGTAAAAGGTGGCGCCTGATTAAAAGCCCTTCTCTTAATTCAGATGCGTATTCACTTTCAAGTTTGTAATGTGACTTACTGTACTCAGGATTACCTGCTTTGACTACTTTTCTAAATTTTCTTACAAAAGTTCTAAACCTACATAAGCTCCACCTTATTCCATCAAAAAAAATAACCATGATTCAATTGGCGATCACCAGTATTCACAATGTTTCTATTACCCCAAATATTCAAAAAGTAAAACCTCATAAGTAAATGTTTGCTGCCCCTGTTGGTTTGTGAGGAGACGAGCAAAAAAAAAAGGCTTGAAGGGAATAAATAAAAATTACCTGAGAGCAGTGGAAATTAAAAAATATGGACATTGTCTGGTGTCGCAGTGATTCAACCAAACAAAAAAGACAGTATTGTTTAACACAGATAAGCATGATAAGGACACGCAGTGTATGAAATGTGTTTTGTTCTCTTTCCGTCTGTCTTTTACTAACAGGGCGGTACGAGGCGTCTCTTGCGGATACATTCCCAGATCCAGCTGGGCGACACTCTCTGGGCCTGACTGTCCTCTTCGGGCTCAGCCAGCGTGTGTGTGGCCGAGGCGGTGTCGTAGTCCGCCACGAGGTCTCCGTCGTACGCCACAAAGTAGCGCCTCAGTTTGTCAAAGTCCTGCACCGAGACGGGCAGGAACAGCTTCACTCCGCTGAAGATGTCCAGCAGCGTCTGCAGGAACGACGAGAAAAAAAAGGTCAGCTGAGTGCTCTGCTTTCAAGCACTGTTCAGACTGCAGAGCATTTAAAACTACACGAGGAAATCATCTGTCATGATGAGCACAATACTAAAGTGGATACAGCTTTGCAGGGTTTCAGCTAGTTATAATCAATATCTGCTTAATAATGTAAATGTATACTAATAGGAATCTTCATTGTTGATTTATCAGTCAATTATTTCAGAAGTTGTTTGGTCTATAAAATACCAGAAAATGTTCATCAGTGTTTACCAAAGTCCAAGATGTCGTCCTTAAATGTCTTGCTTTTTTCTACAACTCAAAGATATTTAGTTTGCTGTCACAGAGGAGTAAAGAAACCAGGAAATACTCACATTTAACAAGCTTGATCTGAGAATTTTGTCCTTTTTTGTTGGGAAAATGTAATAAACCCAGTTGTTGGTGACTAATGTGTTTAATTGCTGGAGCTCTACATGAGAAATACTCATCTCTAGAGCATCAAAGATTAGTTAACCTTTACTCACAGTGTAACAGGAAAATCAAGCACCTTCTCACATTTATAAAGCTGCATTTAACCTGATGTTAATTATATTGACTTATTGTTTGTACAACAGTTTAACTTCACTGGAGAATCAGAAAAGTTACCTGACAGCTGTGGTTTAGTACAACTTCGGTTATATTTTTGCATCTCTGAATGTTCAGTTTTGATCACAATGTACTGACTTTAGTTGTTTCTCGCCAAATGGGGCAACAAAAACAACCCTTCCGATAGTCAAACAACAACTTAACAGTTAAATTTAACCCGTTTACTGACATCATGGTACAATCTTGAGCTGTGGACAGTTTTCATTAGCTCTTAATTCCATCTCCAAAAATACTGTAGTGTGTTGTGTGGTTATGGTGAAGTGGGGTTGTATGAGGTAATGTATTACACAGGAGATCATTGTGACAAAGCAAACGGGAGTACCAATACAGAGGCAAAGCAATGAGCTGCAGTAGATAGACTCAGCAGCAAAAACACATAAAGACACTTAAAAGAGGTCCAGCTTAAAAAAACAAACAAAAAAAAACAACGCACATCTATTGCAGTTTAAAGATTTAGATAGTGTCAATGCTCGACTTTGCCTTTTGACAGTGTTTTTCTGCATTTTCTCCACTGTACAGCCTTCATATTCCTACACATATGCGCTGCAGACCAGCTGTGTTGGTCCCAGCGGTGTAATGTCGTTCATAGCACAGGTGCACAAGAACACAGGAGTTCTACTGCTGAGAAAATGCAGTGCCAAAGAAAGTCTGGCTCTTGGCAAGGTATTTAAAAAAAAACATTCTAAATATAGTGTACAGTTAAGCCGGTATTGATTTATGTTTTTAAGGTGGCTAAATGATGTTTTGCTGCTGACCCTGTCCGCAGCAGTTCACTGCTTAGCTTTCAAGCTGGTGCTTCCGTCTGCGTCGCTGCCAACTTGGATTCACTGACTATGGATAAGCACCTCACACAACCCGGCTCTACAGAAACCCGACCTTCCCTTTAAACGGCTCCTGATTTAGGGTCATTCCAAGCCGACTCACCTAAACCTCCCATGTTGTGTTATGGATGTTAAAATTTCTGTTAAGCTTATGGGATCTTGTAAAATCCCAAAACTCTCCCCCAAACACTTTTTTTTTTTTTTTAAAGTGATGACTTTTTAAAATTGAGCATCCAGAAACCCCTCAGGATAATTTACAATTTGGCAGCTGTAAATAAGATTTTTCTGCCTGAACAAAAAAAAATCTTAAATTTTCAAAATTTATTGAACTAGTTTTCACCTCCTGGAATCTAAATGTTGATTCTGTGCAGCATTGATATAAATTTATTAAAACATTTAAAAACACTTTCTAAAGTATTTTGACTGTATTTTCTCAAGAAGTATTACTTTAAATTCCTTGAGGCTTTTAAAAAATATATTTATTGAAGATACATGAAAAAAATGAAATATGTTACAACTCTATAATTTCATAACTTGTTTTAACTAGCATTTTAAAAAATATTTTTATGGGCTTTTATTTCATAGGTAGGTATTAGTACTACGTTGACTTTAAGGTTTACGATCTCTGTGTGACATTTACTGTCTGTTTTATTAGGTTTATCTGTGAATTGTAGGCAATCCACTACAACAATACAAGTGCCATAAACTCTACATTTATGAAGCCTCAGCTTTTGTCAACATCATAAAGGTGATAATTGTGGGTGGTGGTTAATACTCATTGCAGATAAAAATTAAATGTTACGTGCATAATAAAGTGGACAGTGAAGGTATCACACAGAGAGAGAAAACCTGGAAGTGAACAAATTACAAATACCTATGTATGAAACAAATGGAGTGAATGTCATCACACCAGTGGAAAGTACGAAAATATATTAACCTATAAAAAAGTTTTAAGTAATGCTTCTTCAGAAAATGCACCGTCAAAACAAAATGGTGCTACATTTAACCAGATCTGTGTCAGTCACATTTTTATGCACTGCAAAAAAACTGAAATATAATTGAACTATATTAATGCTACATATTATGAACTTTTAGTTGCAAGAAAGTGAAAACTTGTGGAGCAAACTGAGGTTTCTTCATTTGGTTATTAATTTGATTTCTATTAAACATTCAGCAGCAATTGCTGAGCTGCAAATTATTGTCAGGGTTGTGTGGGCGTTAAGTACAAGTTTCCATCCACAAGAGGAAAAATAAGTCATTGTCGAGGCTCGCAAAAATGATGAACTTTAGCCTCAAAGGTCATAAAAAAAAAAACATTCCAAAAAAAAAAAAGTTAATCTGGGAAAGTTTTTAAATAAATTCTATAATATGAGCTGGGATGGTTACTTGAGTTAATATCACTGTATTCTCAGATTAATAACTTTAAATACAATGTAATCATAATAGATAAAAGAGAGGGCGCTGTACAGATAAAAGCCACTAACCCCCACAAGTTCTAATGTTTTAACATTTTTCCCTTCAGTACGAATTTATAAAGTGCCATGATTTCATTCCTCAGCCTGAATCGTAATATGTAGAAGCCTGGTCCAGACTAGTCTTTAAATTAACAGCAGTTTGCTTCAGTTAAAGTTATTCTGTGGAGTTTCAGTCCTGCAGCACCAACATCCGTGTTTTAAGTTTTGTTTAAGCTAGCTACACTAGCTTCTCACTAGTAAACCACACAGCACTCAACCCTAAAAAAATGCCTTTATTAAGGAAGTGCACTCATCATGAACTTCAAGGATCCACACATTAAGTAATTCTTCATGTAAATACAACCTTCCTTTGTTTACCTGAAAACTCCCCCACGTACCTTTACACGACCTGTCACTGACTCACCTTGTCCTTTCTGGGCTCCAGCACCTGAGAGGTCGCTTTCGTTTTGGTTTGTCCGTTGCTGTTGACACTTTCGCTCTTCTTCATCTGGTAGAAAACACAAAACAGTCAGATCAACACTACTTCCTTCTCTTCCACTGAGAAGAGTCCTGTACAGTGGATGTACAGTTTGCTTTACGTTAAATACCTTCTTTGCGCTGGGAGCTTCTGAGGCGGGGGTGCGTGGTTGGGATTTCACCGCCTTCGCTTTAGGTGGAGTGTTGTTGTCTGTGAAGTGAGCGCACGGTACTGTTGATGCATGTAATAAAGCAGCGTTTGGAGCATAAACACTGGTGTTACTCATTGTACTACATCCACAAACACACCTCTGTCTGGAGTAAATGTTCACAGTGTAAGTGTGCTGAAAGTTGGCATCATTTTTGTCATTTCTGTTCCAAAGAACTTGTGCTGGTTCCGGCTTCTCAATAGGACAGTTTACTGCTTTTTTTGTCATAGTTAATATCATGAATGCCTTTGAATTGGACTCATAAATAAATTATGATCAACGTAACTCACTGTTGTCTAAATGTTTTTACCTTGTAGAATTTTAATCAGGAAAAAAAAATCAGAAGTCACAGCCCGAGTCTGAACATAATTTATCAATCCAAAACTGCCAGCCACTTTGAAAGGCATGTTATTGTTTTTTTTAATTAATAAAAGTGACACCATTAATCAAAACAAGAAACTGTAAAAGCAAGAAGAATTCCTGTTTTTTTTAAAAAAACTTTTTAACAGTCTTTAAACTTAGCACTTTTGATTTCATCAGGAGAAGTTCCCAAATATTAAGCTTTAAATAGTGATTTTTCATCAAAATCCATTTATTCTACATGTCTCACCTAAAAATTCATCAAAAACTAACCTTGTATTCTAACCAGATTCTCTAAAATACTAAAAATACTGCACTTCTCTGCCGAGCGAAAACGCCTTTAATGAATCAGCTGTGACCAACAGTCATGTGACAAAAACTCAGGAACCATTGGGTTGAAGTGCAGGCTGTTTACACAGAGCAGAGAGACAAATTTAAAATGTGATAAGTATCTATAGTGTGTGGAGTGGAGTCTCCTTTTTTTTTATTAAATTCTATTGTTTTGGGGTTTTTTTCAGCTTTTGTTTTTTTTTATATACATATATAATTTATGGCATTATAACAGCCATAGTTGTGCTGTTTCCATAGAGATGCCGGACTTTATATTGAAGTGAAAAATGAGCCCACAGGGAGTAAAAATGTGGTGGGGGTACGAATAAGAACCACCCAGAAACCGCTTTGGGTTCAGAGGGTTAATAAAACCAGCACACAGCTGTTGTCCTGGTCTCTGCACTGCCCGGTTGTGTACTCACTGGTCTTCTTGGCTGGAGCGCTCCTGTGGGAAGACGGCGACGGCGAGTTTCCTCCGCTGTCTCCCCCTGAGGAGCCCTTGTCATCGTTGGACGTGGACGGGCCGGCGGTGACTTTAAAGTCGCAGGTCTCCTTCGATATGCGGTACAGCTCCTGAGCAGAGTGATGAAATGACAACGTGGGTTGCAGCCAAGAGATGTAATGTTCTGTGTCATGGGGAGATTGAAGACCTGTGTCGGATTCCAATAATTTAGCGCAGGCATGTTTTACTGCCTCGGCCAATATTTCATCTCATTTGTCAATGTTTGCAGGGTGACTCCGACTGCAAATTTGCTCCTCCTCCTCGGCATTTAAATCTTGTGCAGTCCCACGGGTGCTCTGTTCAACAGTGGGCTTAATTATTTCATACCTCCCCTCACCTACATTACACAGCCTCCCATTTCTCAGCCACACTCCATCATATATTACAATAGAAAGTAATTAGCAACAAGTATTCCCAGATGATACGCTTGAGTATCAAACGAGTGACCGATTTCTAAGGAGACACCTTTTATGACTGCCTTCTCATTAAAACTTAATAATTGGGTAGCGGTGGCTTTATTTCCCACGGTGCCTCAGTTTGCTGTGTTTTCTACAAGCAGTCCAAACGTCTTACTTTCAGCTGGTGCAGGTTGGTGGCGCTCTTCCAGTCCTTGTCGTCGCGGATGCGTGTCATGCGGGGAAAGCGGATGGAGATGCCGTCAGCAGTGTGCATTTCTGACTTGGAAAACTCTGCACCAGTGATCTCCCAGACAGGCGCTTCCTGTAGCGGAGAAAACGGCACATAACTTGGCATCGCAAATATCTGATGACTGCTTTTCGACAAAACTCCAAACATGGAAACGAAAGAAGGGATGACAATTTAAGGAAAAGGGGCTTGTGGATTTCATTACCAGATCCTGTTTTCAGACGCCAAAAGGGGCCATTTTTAATCAAATGTTTTCAGTCTGAAGTTTCAAGTGTTTTCATGTTTGTGCAAATAAGCATTCTGACAACACGGTGTAGCTCGTCACCATCTCTGTGGGCAATTTATTTCAAGAAATTGCGGCAGACATGCACAAGATGCTTTTAACTGGTTTCATTAAAAAGGTCCACGGACCCTCAGATATACAGCTGTGCCCTGCGTGAACAGGCCCAGCGGGGAATAGCAATGTGCTGAATAGTGAAATCTCACCTCGGGATCGCGGATAATGAAATCTGGATAATAGTTCTTGATGATTTTCAGCCAGCCAGGGATTTTGCTGGGGTCCTTACACAAACAAACACACATACACATACACACACACACACACACACACACAAAAGATTAATTTTCGATTTTATTACATCAGCTCAATATTCCAGGCGAGCCTCTAAGTGGATCCTCTCTGACCTTGCTGATTTTGATCACATCCAGCTCTTTTTGGAGCCTGGCCAACATGGCGTCATCGTAGCCTCCAGAGCACTTGGTGACTGTGCACCATTTCTTGGAGTCTGGGTCATAACAGCCCATTAGAAAGCTGGACATGATGCCCCCTGGTGGGTAGAAGAACACATGTAGCATCAGGAGGAAAACTCAGCTCCCCGCATGCTCAAACGTACCTGCCTACACTGTATATTTTCAGAAAACTAACCTCTTCAAATCAACCTGTAATGCCTCCAGCTGCTGCTTTCTGCTTCCCTCGTCTTCTTTTTTTCCTGCAGTATGTTCTGACACGTGTTTTCATCTGATCTATCGTTTCTGCTCTATTAGCTATGAGCCGTTTCATTAGCCATGCTTTGAGAATGGTACCTTTGTTATTGCGTTTGTTATGTTTCCGTTGTGTTATACGCTCATTACCCAGCCTCCTGCGTGTCTCGTCTGCTTGTGTGTTTAAACCAACGGCATCCTCTCTTCATGCAACATGTTGGATCTGCACATTTTTCATATGAAATGCCCTCGGAGCCCCAATTTAACAGCGCAGTGGTCTTGTTAATTTCACTCAATCAAAATAAAATACATGCAGAATCTGTACGTGTTTTTATGTTGCATATTAAACCCACAGTTCTCATATTTATTCATATTATATTGTTTAATAACGGGTGTGCTCACATGAATTCCCAAACATGTAGTGTCACAACTGCAGAAGCTTTAACGCTGATCAATAAAATAATAAAAACTGCATTATTAAAAATTAAGAGTAATAGTAAAACTGGTGCAACATTCCTCATCTCTTGTGGGAAGTTGTTAAACATTAAAGAAAAAGATGATTGTCACAACAAAATAAAATAAAGACTCTAAAGCCCTTTGCAGATGCTGATCAGTCTGTCACTGAGACGCAGGTCACTTTAATGTTAATGTCCTTCATGGATTCATTCAGACATGACCATAAAATAACAGAAAGAGTTCGTACGCAATATTTGTTATGCATGCGATATTGGACAGTACATTAAGTGGCACAATGCATAAAATGTGCTAATAAACAAAAGAGTAAATGCAAATCTGCTGTGTAACAAATGACCTGACTGCAGCTGATAAACCAAACCTCTGAGAAGTGAAGTATTCAGTGTAACCTGCTGTTAGATCCTAATCAACCCTGTCTCCATGTCAGGGATGATTTATGATTCTAAGTAGTTAATGAAAGCACTGCTGTTGTTCAATGTGTGTAAATATGCACAACTCTTGTGCTTTGGAGATGCTTATCTGGATATGTCTTTGATAAACCCACTCCTACAAACTACAGGAAGCAACAAACTAAACTTCCGCTCATGTTAGCGTTTTGTCAAAACCTGGATAATTTTCATTACTGGTGAGTCACATTAATCTGACCTGTTCTGTATATATCGCAGTAAAGTTGTATTTTTGTGCCCGTTTCGGTTTGTAATAAATGTCAAATTGTGTAGCAAAGTGAATAAGGAAAATATTTTGTGATTTTGGCAGCAAGCTGCTGGTTGAATATTGATGCTGAAACATGGTGAAAGTCTTCACAGAATCTGTTCGCATCAGATGAAGTACGTGGCTTGTGTGTGCCTCCTGTTAACGTGACTGGTTGTTGTGTTGAAAGTGATATGTAAATGTTACTGGGTTCGACCTACTGAGATTGGTAACCAAAAAGTGGTTGACATGAAGCCAACATGTTCAGACGCTTGACTGAAAGGGACTAAGGTCTCCTGCTGCGGATGGTTTAGGCTTTACATACCGTTGGAGCCTTTCCCGTAGAACGCCCCCAGCACCACCAGGTCAGCTGTGTCCGCCATCGCTCCTTCATTCAAATAGTCCTTCTTCACTTTGAGCCAGTGGCGTTTCCCTGGCTCGTAGCTGCCCTGAGACACACAGGAATAAAGCCTGATTAACACAATGTTTCAGCTACATCCACAGCTTAAGTAGTAAGTAACATTTTATCACTGTTGTTTATATTAACCCTCTGATGAATTGCAAAACCAAACACACACACATATATATATATTGCCAAAATAATACCATTTATCAAAGCGAGAAACTGTAAAAACAGAAATAATAGTCAGATTTTTGACTTTCTAATGGTCGTAGGAGCAACTAACCTTTATGTCTTTCAGCACCAGGCCTTCCAGTCCCTCTCTGATGACCCGGGTTATCATGTCAGCCAGGTCTCCTGCCCTCTGACACACACACACACATGCACATGACATCATGAGTTACAGACATACAGAAGACATGCAGCAGAAAGCCAGATTCAGAGTTACACTCACAGTGACGTGCTTCATCTCTGAGAACAGGATTCTGTTTTGAACTTCGACCATGTTGTCATGCAGGAACTTCCTGCGTTCCGACAGAGGCCTGGAGAACATGACGCCAGAGGAGAAACATAAGCCAGACTGTACAATTTACAATTAATGCAATATTTTATTAAAAATAAAGGGATGCTAAATTTAAAACTGTTAGGAAAATTCTTCAGTTGAGTCCTAACTGCTCCGAATCAGCATAAAGAGTCGTCTCTCAAAGTCAAAGCAAAGTTTTACTTGCAGCAAAGAGCCAACATGCACAGTACAGATTCTGAACAAGTGACTGACTAACAGCATGAAGCATTGGTTCTTATATACAGACAGAAAGCAGAAAACAGAAAACAACCTTCTGCAAACGGGTGAGAATAGGCACAGTTCTCATGGTGTTTTGACTACCTGCTAGGAACATCTTGTCCTTATCTCACACTCACAAAGTTCAATAGAGGTCATGGATATTTACAGCATTAAGTCATAGACTTTTCACAAAGATCCTTGGATCATAACATTTTAAGACCAATCGGATATATTTGCATTTTACTGAAATCCCAACATGACTCAAACATGTTCAAAAAGTTCAAGAAGATCCTGCCTGCTAATTTCAGTCAAATCTAATAGATTTTAAGTTGGCTACGTTTTCAGCAGTTTTACGTAATGCAGCTAAAAAGCTAAAGTTATTGTTAGCTCCATTCTCCCACAAAGTTGAGACAACAAACCAAAGGGAATAACAGAAAAAGAAGACAGTTCATCCTGAGTTTTCACTGAGCAACACTTGAGTCAATCCACCACCTCTCTATGTTCACTGCTTTAACTTCTAGTGTAACTTAAAGTCTTCAGAATTAACTTCTTTTCTCCAAATAAATTCTGCAACTAATCAAAGGTGATGCAATCCAAAGATATCTCACAGGAGTCAGTAATGTTTCATGAAAACTAAGTAGCATTTGCAGCATTTTAAAGATCTTTAAAAGATGGATTTAAAGACTTCACAGTAATTTTCTGGGGCATTTAGGGACTTAATTTTTTATAATTTAATTTTAACTTTTAAGGGTCCGCAGGCAGCCTGTTACACGAACTGATGTTTCTCACATGAATGTGAATTTTCAAAGATTTGAAGGCTTGTTCTCAATATCTTTCATCAATCGTTAAAAATTCCCAGTCCGCCAGACATGCTAGAATTGAAACGGAATGAAATCTGAATTAAAACCACCAAACTAGTGAACTTTAAATAAACTGAAATAAAACGGGATCTCTATGTAAAACTAGAATCCAAACGCTGAGTATCAGACACAGCAAATCACAAGGACAGAACCAAAGACTCAAAGTGTTTGTTAGGCATCTTATTCACGGTTGCATCAATCTTATCAAGTGTTATTCTCTGTGAATTTGTTTTTAAAGTAAAGGGTGGAGTAAAGAAAAAACACATTACCTCTCCATGAGACTCACGCCGTTGAAGTAGATACAGTCGAAAACAAAAAGGCACACGTTGGCATCTTGAAAGGCTGCTTTCTGAAGGGAGAGGAAAGTCTCAAGTGTGACAACAATGACTGGCCGAAAAGCCGCTTGACAAATTTGTGTTGCTGAAAAATAAAAAATAATGAACAAATTGGCTGCGTTGTTCTCACCTTGTGTACCCCCAAGGTCCCAAAGGGCAGGGGTTTACTGGTCTTTGTGTCAATTAGGAGGACTTCAGCATCCAGTATCATACTGTGGCCGCCAGGAAAAGCCTGAGGGATGTAGTCCTTGAAATGTGCCACCTGAAACATAACGTTGACACCGTCAGGGCTCAGTCACTGAGCAGAAACAGGGAGCATTTCAAACAACTGTTACAAGAACATTCAAGAGACTGGCACCTTTGGTGGCTTTTAATAGGATTGACTCTGTAAAAGCAATTTATCCAACACCTGAGGTGCATTATGTTCAACCTGACGCAGATTAAAAATGTTAAAAAGTATAGATGAAATGACAGATTTGGTCTTTATCATTTGGGCCTGTATCCACCATCCTTTTTCCTCAGAGTCTGTGTGGGGAATGATCTACACAGTTCCACAGTCTTATCATTTATCAGAATAAAAAAACATTAGGAAACTTGGACTGTTGTAATTACACTCCACTCCCACCTCTACAGAATGTTAACCTAACATTAACATAAATTGCCTAATTATAGAGGCAAAGGGTGCATAATCAGCCATTTGCCTGATGGGTTGCATTTACAAGGTGGTCACACAGGGCAAAATGTCTGAAGCCTCCGGGCTAGACGGCTAAAACTGCTCCACAGACGCCATGAAGAGCAAGTCTCAGCTCTAAAATATCAGAAACTAAGAGCAGAGAGTGAACTTCTATGTGAGACATTATTGATTGGGTGGAGACAGACGGCTTATGCATCTCCTGCATAAAGGCCAACTGGCTGCTGCTCCCTTGTGCTGGGTGTTCTTCACTCTAAGATCGCTGTGAGGGACGTTTTGTGAGCACAGCAGCAGCATCTAGTGGTTTAAAAAGGCTAATGAACGAGATGCGGGGCTGTTTATCCCTGCATGTTAAAGGCTCTCGGCGTCATGCTGAGAAAGCAAATGCTGGAAAATCATTGTGGGAAATATCTGAATTTCACGCTGAGAAAATACCTTTAAGCTGCTAATCCTGCAGGGGCAAACCTGAAGACATTCCACACTGATGTGCATTGTCATACTAATCAGTAAATAGCTTCACGGGCTGTGAGCCTGTGCGTTTGCATTTGTGCTGCCTGTGATAAGACTGACTTTGTGTGGCAACACCGGCTTGAGGCTGCGGCTGAAGTAGCTGAAGACGTCTCCGCTCTTGTGGACCTGCACGCGCTCGCCGTCGTACTTGATCTCGGAGTACATCCCGTTGGGGCATTTCTTCATGGCGTACTCGACGGATTTACATGCCTCCGCCTGAAATCACAAAAGGAAAATGTAAACATTTATAACGGTTGCAGCAAAGAAGCAAACGTTTATGTAAAGTTACGGTTCACTAAAATGTTTGCCCTGGTTGGTCCATTGGCGAAAGCAGGTTCATGTCTTGAGGATCATTCTGATTTTTTACAGAGTAGGTTTGAATTGAAGGGTTTTGGCTGTCATTTTGTCAGTAAAAACAACACATTCAACAGATTACCCTCATTTCACGTGTGCTTACATTTGGTTTCACCTCCAAGCATATAGACTAGACAATAACCGATGATAAATAGATCGTAGGTGATGTCAAAAACGCTAAAAATAAATAAAACCCACTTGATGATTGTACGTTCTGGTTTTTCATTAAGTAAAGAGCAACAACAATAAACAAGACAGCAACAAGGCCTGTTCTTTACTCGGCAATGCTTCATCATAAAATCTGTGGAGCTTTGTTTGTGTCAGTGTTCTTGTAAACTTAATTAATCCCTTTCAATATTGCACAAATATATAGTCTTGTAATATTGCATTGCTGCATGAATCGATACGGCTGCACTGGCATTGTGTCTGCACAGTCACCTGCTGCTCTGCTTGTACAACTCTAACATAATTTCAGAGTGCACCGGGTTAAATTACACTTGTCCAAACTCTTCTCAACTCAGTTCTGTGTTGTTGTTTTTTTTGTACTTCCTAATGCGTTAATTGGATATACAGCAGCTGAGGGTGACATAAGACCTGCAGTAAAGCTAAAACTGAAGCTGTACGCCTGTGGACAGTCAGGAAAATGGACTGTGCTGCACTTACGTCATGTAAAATGTGATGTAAATGCAGTGAAATTCCATTTTCTTTAATTAAAAGTCTGCTGGATGATGGGCAATTTGTAACATTTTTTCCACTTCAAGCCTTTGAGCAAATATTAATAAAGAGGTTCAACACTGTCTTTAGTGTAAAGACAAATGCATTAAATTACCTCTGCTCGTGTTTTTTATTTCATTATCTTTACCTCCTTTTATCTCTTGAAAATCAAACATATTATAGTAGCAATTACTGCCATTTACTGGAAATCTATGACTATTTTTTTTCAGTTTGTTTTCACAGATAAGCCACAATACCTTGCTCTAAATGATTCTATTGCTGGATTCAAAATGCATCATGAATCACAGATTAAAGAGCCCACATTATGCAAATTTAGAGGTGTATCATTTTATTGTCTCTATAAGGCTCAGTCAGCTCTCATTGGTCAGCTGGTCCAAAGAAAGTGAGATAGCGTTGTTTACATACCGTAACCATAGATCTATGAGTATAGAGATGTAGCTCCAGTAGAGGCAGCTCTAGCAAGCAGGACTGCTAGGAAGCTGCTCACTATTTGTTTGAGGCCAAACTAGCCACGAAGCAAGCGCTATGCTAATGTGTTACATGGTGACGTAGACAAGTAACAGAAGAATAGCCTCCATGTTGTGTGGACTTTGGGATTTATAAGTTGGCAGACTTTTTGCCTGCACAAAAAAGCACTTGAAAGGAGAGGGGAAAACCCAAAAAGCACAATATGAGCTCTTTAAATGAAGTCACTGGTTGGAGGAAAGATGTTACTTATCTTTTGTATTTGCATGTGTGTCTTCTGTGTGAATTATGAGGTCAGAAATTTTAGAAATCATCAAAAAAGTGCAAGAAAAAAGTGCATCATGCAAGAAGTATTCAAATAACTTCAGTAAACAAGTAAGTACAGAAACAGCAGCCATCAAATGCAATGTTTTTGTCAGTGTGTTTTTCTACAAAGCTCGTGTTTAACCACATTTTGAATGCATATAGAAACCTTCTTTTCCTCACATCACACTGAATTAAACATGTCACCACATAAAGACTTTAAAAGATAAATGGGGAACAACTGCATATAAATATGTCGCAATTTAAAGGTGGTACTCACCAACATGGGCTGGACCGGCGTCATGAGCGAGGCCTCCACAGTCAGAAGCTTCCTGGGTCCAGAACCATTGGACGCCTCCTGTTGGTTCCTTAATACCCTTTCAATCACATCACCCAGATTACGCGAGGCCTTGAAGGCATCATAAGCGTTTGGATCCACAGCATCCAAGCTGCATAAAGAGGCAAAAATGAAAAGTTGGTGAAGAATAACTCTTTCTGTGGTGTGTTAACAGAACACAGACCACATTAAGACACAGACACTTACACGTGTTTCGCGCCGGCATTCATCTTCAAGTCATGCTTAATTAGGCGAATGATGCATTTCAGGTCATTACTGGTGCATCTGTGATGAAGAGAGAATGCAAATTATCACCGGGGTAAAAACACAGAAGCATATGCTGAAGTATCACAGCAGTTAAAAAGCAGAACTCTAAAGGTTTAAGGGTTCCAAATAATTTCACAGAACTTGAGAAGATTACTGGCAAACAATTCACATAAACTATGCAATTTCAGGAAGAACCTGCTTCGTTCCAGTCATTTTGAAGAGAAATGCTTTAAGAGTTCCTCTCAGAGTGTGTATCACAGTTAGATATGTAGAAGTTTTTTCCATTAAATTAATCCCTTCCTTTTGGGGTGCTGCTACAGCTCACCTGGTTGAGCTAGCGTCCCATGTACAGGGCTATGGTCCTGATTTGGAGGTCATGAGTTCAAATCCCGCTCATGGCCCTTTCCCACACATCTTACCCTCATTCTTCTCCCCCACTTTCCTGTCTCTCTCTCACTGCTCTATCCAATAAAGGCACAAAGGCCAAAAAAATATAAATAAAAAAAAAATCCCTTCCTGCGTTAATAGCTTAAATGTAACTTTACACTATTGCCTATGTGCACCCAAGTGCTTTCTCCAACCACCTTATCTCAATCACAGCAGCTCAAGCACACCAACTCTGCTAAAACACTAAAACTACTCTACGCTACACAATGGAAAGCTGTAATATTAGAGTAATTCAGCCATATGTATTCTAACTGAACATGAAGAAGAATAAAGACACAGAAAGTTCCACCCAGTAAGCTGACAGGATTGGTTCTTTAGGTTTGTTACATATGAAACCCTGGAGGTCTGAATTTGTGTGTTTGAGGCCGTCATTACTACACTGCAGTTGCAAGAAGTAAATTCTTAGCCATTGTGTTTCCTGCTTGTGACGTATCTTCCAGCATATAAAAAAACATAATAATATTCCAACAAAGATGCTGTATGCAACATCAGCCACACAAACTCCCTGTTAGGGCTAATTTACACCCAGAAAGGTTGCGTACAAGAAAGCCAATAAAAAATAATCTAGCCACAACCATTACCCCACGCTAGCACTGTAAGATAAATTAAAAGCTTTCATCCACTTGTGGAAATGTGCCTGCTTTATCTTAACACATAGCAGAGAAGAAACAATGTGCAAAAAAAAGCGTAGGAGAACAGCAAATGTAAATAAGGACACATAAGTTAGGTAAATAACATTAACAAAATACCTTTTTTTTTCAAAAAAAGCACTGACTAAACCCTGGACTGCCCTCTTGTAATGCAGTGTTTGAGGTCACTCTTAGTCTGTTAATAGGGCAGGGCCAACAATTTCAAAGAGAGGGACTCACATGCACTCTTATTAGCCAACATGCACACTGGGCCAGACCAGCTACCAAAACACAGCCCAGATTATAACACACAAAGAAGGAGTGCGTCTTCACTCTGCTAAAGACTCCATTACTCCACTATATCTTTATGTAACAAATAATCCTGTGTGGCAATGTTAACGCTCAAAATCTTGCATGTAGAACTTTTAAGCGATACGATTTCAATTCACGAGGCATGCTTTGCCCTATTGATGTCATACAACACAAGTAGATCTTTTATTTAGTACGGCACAAAATAATGGTTCCGTCTGTTCACAGCCTGCGAGATGCAATTTATGACAAACACAGTCTGTCGTCTGCTGCTGTGGAGGGTAGAATGTCAAATAAAGATGTCTGTATTGTGTGTGTGTGTGTGTGTGTGTGTTAGACATGCCCGAGGCACACAATCTAAAAAGAGGGAGGAAGAAAAAAAACTGCACAAATGTCAACTATAAGAAAGCAGTGCAAGAAAACAAGTGCAAACAAATAATAGTATCACTTACAAATATTGCAAAAAGAAATCACAAAATATGTCTCCCTGGCTTTTACTGAGCCACTTGAACCTTCACTGGCAGTAAAACGAAGGCATCATGCGGAGAGGTACAGCCACAAAAGACAGACTCTGGCATGCATACTGGTGTTACTTGTGTGAATTGCCATGTGTGTTCTATTTTACTATCCAGCCTTACTTTTTGGCAATATCCTCCAGCTCGTTCTGCTGCTCGTCCTCCTTTGTCAGCTGTGCGAGGCGGGTCAAGGATGCGTCTACTTCCTGGATGGTCAGGAGGCTCTTGGCAGCCGGAGGGAATGATTTACTCTCATCGAAGAACATCCTCACCGTCTCAGACACGTCACCCTTAAAAAAAAACAAACGGACTGTATTTCACAGGTGTAATTTTTGACAGTTTCGTCCTCTGCCATCCTCAAAACACAATGTCAGGAGACTGGAATTGGCTCTAAGATGGTAATTTTTAGTTGTAATTGTACACTCACTTAATGAGGTGTGATAAAATAGTCCTTTGACAGTTGTGTTTTGTTTTTGGCCATAACAACACATTCCTCACACCTCATCTGTCGTACTTGCCAAATTTGACTCCCTGTGACAACTCATTCTTCCCAAAAATTGAAGTTGAAGGGTGGCTTTTTTTATTCAAGATTCAGTGAGCATCGCAGAAATTGTATGACAAGAACAAGACTTACAGGGATCTGTAAGTGTTGCATGAGCACTGGGAGCGCTCACTGCACAAGGTGATTACTTAGACGAGGACTTAGACAAAGTTTTTGCTTATTTTAGGTGCAGTTTTTTTTGTTTTGTTTTGGCCTTTTTGCTTTTATTTGATAGTGCAGTAGAGACAGGAAAGTGGAGGAGAAGAATGAGGGAAGGACCTGCAGAAAAGGGCCATGAGCCGAATTCAAACTCATGACCTCCGCATCAGGGGACTGTAACGTCTGTACGTGGGACGCCAGGTCAACCAGGTGAGCTTTAGCAGCGCTGTTTCTGAGCCTTTTAATCACACCTCACATGTGGTCGACTTTAGAATATTCACAAAGCATAAGATTTAATGTGACAAAGAGGGACAACAGACCTGCTCCAGATCGCGCACCATGTCATCCTGGTTGCATTTGAATATGCGACTGAAGAGTTTTACAATCTGCTTGTCGTTGAGGTTATAGACACTTTTCACGACGCCTGGCAGCAGCAGTTTCACTGTCAGGTAAAGGTCTCCCTGGAACTTATCTAAGAAGGAAGAGAAACAAAAAAATCAAAGAAATCCCAACCTTGGATGATGATCTACTGAAACCTGCTGATAGAAATAAATAAACAACAGTTGACAAAAGACACACCAACCTCCAGCTGAGCCCTTCCTGAGGAACTTCTCAATAATCTGTGTCTTCACATTGTAGCTGTTGTTTTCAGCCACCGTAGCGCAGAGCTTGCGAAACTCTCTGAGGAGGCAGTCCTTGTGCTGAGGGTCACAAAGCTGAGTGGACAGAGCGCTGCCTTGGCTGCCTGTGGCCGAGGAGGAGGCAGAGGAGGACGGTCCAGGGCTGCTGGAACTGCCAGCCTTCGCAGCTGACAGGAGAGTCAAGTGGAACAGCACATGAGGCCATAGTTTGCTGATCTCTTTCAAGGGGTTAGTTTGGTTTCAGAGAGATTTCTGCCTTTGTACTTGAGCACAACATCTCTAAAACTTTCTTTCTGAATTACAGTTTGGAACGGTTGTTTCCAAAAATCTGTCACATCATCTGGTGCAAGAGACGTCCTGTCCCAGCCATGCTGCTCGGGCTGAATGCTGCACTGTGTATTCACATTTAACCCAATGAGTGGCAGGCTGTTTTCAGGGTTGTTTCTCTTTATTTTGAAGCTTGTGAAACTTGTCTTTTCATTGCATTGTTGTTGTTTTTATCAGATCAATCTAGGATATCCAGATCTTCCATCATTTAATGTGATAATACTTGGAGATTTGCAGAAAAAAAAAGTCATACTTCTCTCGATACAATACAGACACACAATGAAAATGATGTACTTTAAAAAAACCCTGTGCAAAATCTATTTTTCTACATGTACTAGAACAGACAGCACCCTCCATAATTTTTGACAACCCTGGTTAAGATGTGTTCTTTAGCTTCTAGTAAATTCAGTTTTTTTCTAAATAATATAGGACCACAATGAAAAAAGAGGAAAAGTAAACCTTTAATTCAAATGCATTTATTCAGTGTGAAAAAAATCAGAACCATGATGATGAGATACTCTATGACTCAGCAATTCAAAAAAGTACGTGCTTAGTGCCAAATGGAAATAAATATCCACATTTAATTCAAGTAAGTATTCACGTACAACAGCCTACTTGCAGAGGCACACCTTAGGGAGAGGCTTAAGGATTAACAGTGTTTGCACTCCTGTTGCTAGAATTATAAAAATGGTTCTGCTTGTGTATTGCTATAGTCCAGAGTGTGTGTTAGACCAGTTTGTTGACTTGTTAAACTGTTGAAAGACTGTAAAGGTTAAATGGTGAGAGAAAGCTTGATCACTCCTGACCATCTCATTCATTTCTTTATATGGTGACTTGAACATGTGAAACCGGAATCTACTGAGTAACATGCCAAAGAGATTAAGTCAGATTCAAGGTGAGCAGCAGCTCGACGTCAGCGATTTGTTTTTTTAATCAATACCATCCTCCCCTTAGGTTCGAGAGTTAGTCTAACCGGTGCAACAGGTTTCATTCATGTTAATTTTACTTCACCAAACATTGCATGGTGGTTCATCAAGCAGCTCAGCACTTTATTCTTCACTCGAGCTTTGTGTTCGGTATTGTGTGTCGAGCATCAGCACGTCTAATGTCTTCAACTGCCTTAATGTCCTTTTAATGTTTTTCTTTTTTTTTTAGTTATTTATGTTTCTATGCTGCACGACTGGAAAAAATAACAGTTGTGTTGTGGCAAAATAAAGATCTGAACTGAATGGCTGGATGTAGATTTCAAGTTCATCCGTCTACAGTTTGACAGAAATAAAATGTCTGTTCATCAGGGTGGATGCACACAAAATTGTGGTGTGTTAATGTACCTTTAAGATTCCCTGGAATTAAATCATTTACTTTACATTATGCAACTTGCAAAGATCATTTTGTTTAAGCAGCTTTTTGTTTGTTTCTTTTTTATGAACAGTTCATAAGTAAGAAATCATTTGACCCTGGATGTCCCATCTTACCGGTGAAGCCCGAAAACTTGCGGGGAGCGTTGACAGACGGGTCTGCAGGAGGAGCCATCAGCCCACCGGTGGTGTTCCCCTTGGCCTGAACCTTCTTCTTTGGACCCGCATTAACTTTGGCCATCAGGTCTGACAGACAAAGCAACAAATAAGAAACCAGGACAAATAAGAAAACCACTTAACCTGAGATAAGTCACCTAAGTCATTTTAAGTTTTCAAAATACAAATGAAACAAACAAATCACTTTGTTTTTATCAGTTTAGAATGAGCACATTATATCTGTGTATGGAACAGCTGCCCAGAACTAAACACTGGCTTTAGAGGCAATTTTATGTTTAAGTGGCAGCCACTGTAGTGTGTCCTACATGCTTGCATGCTTGATATTCAATTGTTTGCAATTTGTTATCTCATTAGTAGATGCTACTACATCCTACACATGGTCTTTTAAACAAGAACAAAGATGTAAAAATCGAATATGTTTTGAATGAAACTAACTGTAACAAACATATGCCTACGTGTACTTCAGCGTACTACATATCCCTACATGGATACATAAACATCTAAACATGCACACAGTCATTTTGACTGTTCTGTTGCTGATCTGATTTGTTGTCTTTTTAACCAGAATTTAAAAGTTGAATTAAAAAAAATAAAAAACAAAATCCTCAAGGAAACCTAACTTTATCTTATTCCCTAATAGCCAATAGCTTTTTTTTCCTTTTTTTTAATTAATCATTTAAAAATAAAAGTTCAAAAAATATACATGAATTTCCTAAACATTTATCTAACATGAAAACATCCATTGAACATTTTACATGCCTTTCATCTAATATTAAGCCATCTAATTAGTTGTACTGGTTTAACAGATAAGCTGATACTGGATGCAGTAATGTAAAGCACACCAAGCACGTCAAAAACACAACAACAGTAATTTGGATCAAAAAAGATACCCAGTTGGTATATAATCGTAACCTTATTCAACATCACAAGTAAAATAATAATACTAACCACAGAAGCACTCGTTTCAGAGATGTTGTGGTATGTTTGATCCCTCCAGGTTAATTTTATTACACATCTATCACTTGTTAACGTGCACGACTAGCTGCAGTTAATCAACACAACACTGCAACTCTGGTCAATTTCTTTGACTGCTGACTTTCTAAACATGTGATGCATCAACACCATTAATGGGTAAAATTGTCCTTTTTATGTGCTCCATAGAAAGGTTAAAGGTTCCCAGTGAGTGTTAGAACTACCTAGAATCCGCAGTAAAATACATACCTATGAAAAAAGACGAGCAACAATTCTATTGGATAATAAGTGTAATGTAAATATTTGAGTGTGCCTGTGTTTTACCTGACACGTGTTTATTGATGAGCTCTTTGTCTTCATCCTCCAGCTCCTCCCAGCCCTCCAGATCCGTGATGTCCTCAATCTTCTTTGTGGTGGCTCTTGCCCTTTCCAGCTTCTCAAATATGCACTTCACATGGTACCACTCTTTCATCTCCCCTGCAGACTCGCTGAAAGGGTTTGGCACAATCTTGCCTATGCGCACTATGCCCTTCTGGATTTTGTCCTTGCATTTCTTACATCCTGCAGTACCTCGTTTGGCATATTCCACAAGGAACCTCTGTTCTGCCATATCTGGCTGCTCACAGAAACACTGGTGCAGGGAAATCCAGGGAGGAGAGCTTTGGAGGAGACTGTGTTTATGGGATAGCGAGGAAAAATGACCGATTTTTCTAGAAAAGTTTAACGAATGAACTGGTGACAGTAGATCTGCTGAGCATGAAGAGACAGAAAAGGCTCTACACACCTTCAAGGGCTGCTGACACCTGACAAGTGTTCTAAGAGGTTGCAGACCTACACAAACACTCTTGTGAACTAACAAAAAAAGGGCTTTCTGCATTCAGTTGTGACAGTGGCCAAGTTACAACCTAAAAAAACAAAAACAAAGGGAAACAAAGATTAAAAACACAATTCATTTTTGTTCTATAAATGTTGCCTTGATATATCAAATACTACTAAAACCAGGAGCTTGAATAAAGGTTTTCCTGACTCCGTTTTGACCTCATTTCAATTGTTGCATTCATGACAACTAATTGTGTGCAACATTTCAGCACTCTGTAGCTTTCTGTAGCTTCAGTTTAGCAGTAGCACTGCTCCTCCCTGCAAATTAACAGGGTTTCTGCAAGGTTCACGAAGATATATTTAAGACTTTTAATACATTTTTAACACCAGAAGGCAATTTAATACCCATTTTACAGTCATGCTGAAGGAGCCCATATTATGCACATTAAAATTTCATTTTGGAAGTCTACTTTAATACGCGTACATGTTTTATTGTTCAAAAAACACATTATTTCTGTCATACTGCACATTACTGCAGCACCTCTGTCCTGGCTTTTTCAGACCCCCCTTCTGAAAAGCCCAGACTGCTCTGATTTATCATCCGACCTGATGAAGGCAATGCAACTCCAGTTACATATCATAACCCCAGATCTATCTCTGCATTTCATATCACATGCTTCATTCCCTTTTCAGCAGCTTCCCTCACAAATTACATACTGATGTACGCAGCATGAATATGATGGGGGCATACCACTTTGCTACCTTAGCTTTGACTGTCTTGATCACATAGCCATTGCAGTTTGCAACTGCCTTCATGGTGGTTTGCATCTAATGCATTTAGGTGAAATTAACAAACATTCTAACTACTGTCTTATTTATATTAAAGAAATGTCTGTCGTCGGCATGTATTTCTCCATGTTCTTTGAGGGTAGTCGCAGCTAGGCAGGCTTTATGCAAACGTGTTATATGGTGATGTAGATAGGTCACGAAAGAAAAGCCTGGACTTCAAACAAGGTGTTTCAGGAAGGTAAGGAGCAGTGTTTTCTGTTGGGACTCCCTCTGACATGAATGTTGGGCTTTGTAAATTAGCGACTTTTAACAAGCACAAAAAGATAACACACGAAAGGGAAGGGAAGACCCAAAAAAAGCATAATATCAGTGCTTTAAAGTACCACCGTCAAAAACCAGTCAGAACAATATAGCCAAGAATTATAATTATTAATAGGTTGCAGTACTACGTCAATCCCAACATCAAGTAACACATATTTTTAAAGATACAATTAATTAAATTAATGAAACTCTAACATGGATAAGCATTACAAAATGGGCATATACCTTTGTCTGTACCAGGGAAGAGACAAAGCTTAGGTTTTGTACTTATTAAATTCAGGCCTTTAATACTATAAGGCCTTTGGGAAAAGAACAATCAATGATTCTGAAGACTTTTAAAAACCTGCAGATAGCCTAATTAATAGGACAAAATAAATAATTAAAGTTAGGCCACATATTAAATAGGTTTAAAGCCATAAAGTCCCTTAAGTAGTTGGTGAAACATTTTTTCCATGCTTTTAATCTAACATCTTGTTTTCCTCCTTAAGAACAGCTGTGTTATCAACGCTACACATATCAGAAATCCACAGAGACTCGCTTGACTAAACAATGATGACAACATATCCAAACACAAATACATAAAAAGAGAACAAAAATAAAGATTACATTGGCAGAGATATATTTAGCAACTTGTGTTTCTAATCTAGGTCTATGTTTTTGAAGTCATCATTCTGCCCAATGAAGGATCACAGATCACAGTTTATTTACTTGCAATGAAATATTTTCTAATCCAACCACAGTCCTCTAGAATGCATTTCGACAGTTTGGCCATATAGCTAACTATGCTAGCTAACACACTGACCTGCATTGCATGCACTATACCTTTTGCAAAACAAGAGTGCTAACAAAAGGTTGTTGAACTTTGGTCGGACGTATCCTTTGACCCACAGCAGTACTTTTGATTCTATCGTTAACCGTGTCCGAATGTTATGAAACTGCGTCACTGTTAAATTACATAAAATCATAGATTCCGTGTCATCAAATATAAGTTTGATGACACGAAGGCAACTGATGGGCGAACAAGCGTTGGTTAGATGTTAGCATTAGCCATACTAACTCTGTTTCAAACACTAAAATACAGCTAACTTAGCTCGCTAATTGTCTGCACATCAACGATAAAAATAATGTTTAGACTTGTCGCTAATATCTCTACACATATTTGTTCACTGTACCTTGTAGAGGCTGAATAAATTCTTTTAGTGCGGGTTAAACTGCCACTCTTCATTGTTGTTAGCGAACAGTTCACCAGTGTCAAGCCAGACTCGATTTCCATACATAGATTGAATACACTTCCGGTTTGGGTTGACAAAATAAAAGCTATATTACGGAGAAATTTGTGTTAGTTGAATTTAGTAAATGTTTAGAGTACCTGCAACCTTTGTGTAGTCCTATTTATTAAGCAAATGCATATTTTGACAACAATGCTTGCATTATTATTTCAAATTGAGACGTTTTTATTGTTTTATTTCAAAGCATATAAATTAGATTCCGGTAGCTCCCTGTTTAATGCTGATTAACTTGACGTAACAAGCCAAACGCCAACTTAGCTCAAAGCATGGGCTGCAGGCTGCGGTGCCTTCATGGTGCTCGTTGGCTGATAGTCCTTTAAACATGGAGCAGGATTGACCTACCGCCACCTGCTGAACAGGAGCATTTAAACAATTTCCATAGTAGCTAATAATAA